GACGAGGAACAGATATCACAACGCGCGCAGGAGAAGCTCTACCGCACTTTTGCGCACGTGTGCTTGTTTAGCGCGTGAATCATTTCGCGAGTGCGATTATGCACAGAGCGCTCTATAAAACACTCGTCGCGCTTTATACCTGTATAACCCCCCCAACTTCGTCGCTTTGCCCTCTAATGTCCGCCGCGCGCGTTATATTCGGAATCGTGGCCGGTCGCGCGCGCACGCACGCACGATGTTGTTTTCGGCGGGGCTCTCTCGTCTCTTCCTCGTGGGTCCTTAATATCCGACCGGTCTATTTTTAAGCGTGACTAGCGAGAGGTATGTGCATGCGCGCGATGACGCAATCCTATGGTCTTTCCCCTTATATTTCCTTCCCTGCCGCTCCTCCTCCTCCTCGCGCGCGGCTTCTCAGCGATGGGATCGAGCTGGATTCGATCGACAATTATATACGCGCGGCGTCATTTTGCAGCGAGTCGCAAAGAAATTTGTAACAATTGTTGCGGTTAGAACCCGTTGGATGTTTTAAGTGTCCGATCGGACGATTGGCGTCGACAGAAGGACCGCGAGCCGTACGTGGTTCAAAATGTCGTTCAAAAAAAATGTTGTTTCAATCAAAACAAAAAATTTCAATCGGCTTCTATCGGCCTCTTTGTTTTATTACTTTTGTTGTAACCCAGCAAACACAGAATATGACTGTGCTATGTAACATAGAAGTAACAGCGTAATATACGTACACCGAAAAAATTGTATTCTTGTTTCGAGGAGATATCCCACTTACTTTAAGTATATTTTATACTAAAATAGGCGCCAAGAAGAGTTTCTTATTTTAAGAGGAAAATTCTCTAAATAGTATAATATTGATAAGAATATATACTGATTAGAATATAAAAAGCCTCTATAGAAAAACATATATATCTCACTATCGAAAAAGACTATATTCTCAAATAAAGAATATATTCTTAATTTCAGAAGAATATCATCTAAAATCTTTAAGAAGATTTTTTAAGTATAAAATCTTCTACTTACAAGAATATAATTTTTTCGGTGTATATATATATATATATATATATATACACGTACACCGAAAAAATTGTATTCTTGTTTTGAGGATATCCCACTTACTTTAAGTATATTTTATACTAAAATAGGCGCCAAGAAGAGTTTCTTATTTTAAGAGGAAAATTCTCTAAATAGTATAATATTGATAAGAATATATACTGATTAGAATATAAAAAGCCTCTATAGAAAAACATATATCTCACTATCGAAAAAGACTATATTCTTAAATTAAGAATATATTCTTAAAAAAATAAAGAATATATTTTAATTTCAGAAGAATATCATCTAAAATCTTTAAGAAGATTTTTTAAGTATAAAATCTTCTACTTTACAAGAATATAATTTTTTCGGTGTAATATAACAGCTATACTCTATTAACAAATTAGTTACACTCTATTAACAAATCGATGTTATATAACTTTGTTTTTTTTATAATTGTAATATAATTATGTCATATATTTATTACATCGCTTGTGTTATTAACTGGTAATGACGTTATAACTTTCATACAATATTTCTATAACTATATGTAACAATTATACTTACATTTTACTTACATGTTATATTCGTATTATATAACTGCAATATACGAGATAATTAGGAAATTACAACTAACATGGATGTTACATGCAACGACCCGTGTTATATCACTTGTTACATTTGTTTTGTTACGACAATGTTGCTGTTATATATATGTGTTTGCTGGGAAAAAATTGTGTAACTTTTTTTTGCAAAGAAATGAACGATAGAAAAAACTCTTTTGTTCGATCCTCTTTCTTCGGAAACAGATGTTGCGCAGAGAATCGTCGTTTCTTTTCTCATCTCAATCCCATCACTCTTATATCCTCCACTCTCATTGCTATTCTATCGAGATTACTCCATTCGGCCTATCGCTCCTTTGTTACCTCTCTCTCTCTCTCTCTCTCTCTCTTTGTTTTCCTACGCACTCTCTTCACTCCGCACAAGATTGTGTCTCGCGTTTTCCACACGTTCTTCGTTTATAGCGACTATATCTTGGCTAGTTTTCCATTAACTGCCTATATCCGGTGTAATAATATGGGCATCGTTATACGCGCGCTTACGCGACGTAGTTTCAAATAGCAAATGGCCCAACAACTCCTCTCGAATTGTTCTCGCGCGCGAAAGCAACGTTCAACATATATAACGCACGTGTGTGTGTGTGTGTGTGTGTGTGTGTGTATGTACGCACGTGGTGAGTGAGAAAACTTTCTTACAATTCGCACGTGTTGCCATATTTGTTTGCTAAAACAAAACTACTCGGAATATTTTCTCGCAAACAGATTGCATTTCTAAAATCCGTCATCTCGACGTCGGATTTGATTGTTTCTCTAGTGTTAAGAGTATATATCTTTATCATATTTTTTGCGCCTCTTTCCGGGTACCGCACGTGCCGCGCGTATAAAGACATATACGCTTCAACCTAGACCTCACTCTTTAGACCTCGATCCGCGAGAGTCTGCGTGTTAATGTGAATTCGTTTTATGAACAGCACGTTGCGCTACACACACACACAGAGAGACCGATCCTCCGGATATCATTAATCTTCGCGCACGTAAATGAAATGTTTTCACGCTTTGATACAAAGCGATCACAGTCCTCGCGTCTGTAGACGATGACTAGAAAATTCGCTCGATCAAATCAGTACGGTTCACGTCCGAGGAGGTCGCAAAAAAATGTGCGACGCGCGGCTTGAATCGACTGGTTGTCTTCTCCGCGACAGATGCACGATATAGTATTGGTGTTATTTTATTCCCGAGAGTCTCTCGAATTTACATTTTCGAGATTCGGTTTCGGCGGGCTCTCGACTTCGAGTGGGTGTAGCCGATCAATTCGTTAAATAAATAGCTATTGAGTTGCTTAATTGCTTCGACGAAAATAGGAAAGATGAATAGTCATGAAAATAAAAAGGAAGATCGAAGGAAAGAGAGAGAGAGATAAAGTAGAAAACTCTTTTAGCCAGTAAAAGAGATCATTTATTTATTTAGTTTTTTTTTATTTTTAGTTTTTTATTTTTTTTTATTTTTGTGTTCTTTTAGTTACATATAAATGAATTATTAACGACAGCTCTTGTGTAAGTTCACATTATTTTTATATATTTTTATATTTTATATATTTTTATATATTTTTTATATATTTCTTTTCAATGTTGAAGAATCAAAAATTAAGATAATTTCACGTACTTAAGCTTAAATAAATAAATTGAAAAGTTTGTGTCATAACTAAATATTTTTTTTATAAAATTGTTAGAGTGGTTTCTAGAATGGACTTGTTTAAAATCGTTCGTCTAATCGTCAACAATTATTTTTGACGAATTAACTAACGTTGAAGATTTGCGTTTTTTTTTTTTTATTATTATTTTAGTGTTAGCAATAAAATTTTCAAGTAACATTCGGATCTGATTACTCGAAGCGTTTGATGTTGAAAAACCAACACGCAACTGACAATAATAATTGAAAAATTATAACTTTGTGCAAAACTGTCGTAAAATATTATGCCGTGTCTATCTCGACGTGTATTAGGATCGCGCAAAACAGTTAATGCACCGAGAAATCGTTTTATAAGCGTTTTATTACTATTAATTGCGGCAAGAAAAGTTCAGCGTGTTCTCCTTACATTGCGAAACGTCAAACTGGCGTTATATGTTTGCTACGCGGCAGGTATCTATTTCTACTGCGGTAACGGTATTATCTCGTTTTAATGGGATATTAAGAAGAATTACGCGACGTTTCCTTTTACAGACACTCGATGCCGGAATAATTAACGCGTTGATCGCGAATATCTCATCGAATATCTTACAGATCGGATATTGGCATACGTCATTCGACGAGTTTGAAACGTTCAATGCCTCGTCTTTGCTTTTAACCAAAGTAAATGTAAATAATTTATGAGCATCGCAAATGTGTATATGCATATATAACCTATACGTATTATAAAGGATATATCCGTGTTTTATAATTATAGATATACCTTACCGTTAATAGCACCTGCCATAATGTAAGAGTACATTTGCATAAGAAATTTATAATCAAAAAAAGATTTCCTAAAAGATCTCAATTCCAGAAATCTTCCGTCAGTTCGAATTTTTTTTTATACCACTTTGTCTCGTTATTTTTGTTTGTATTGCCGATTTTATTTCTTATCGCATATATTTGATCATTTATTGTCCGTTTATTGTTCGTTTATATATTTTTGCACATTACATACATATTTATGTTTATATTTGTGTTTATAGATTTTTTTAATTTGGCCAGTTTGTCAGTTCTTACTTGTACGTTGCGGCCTCACTAGAACATTTATAGTCTGTCGACACCGGCGTTAATTACCAGCACTCTTTATTGTATTGAAAATGACCTAAACCACAGGTCAAAAACGTTCTACTTTTACTTTTATAATAAACAAAGTTAAAATTTGCAGCTCTACATCTGCTTCTAAGAGCCATTGTTCTGTTAAATATTTTATAGATTTTTTGTTACATATTGATATGCAGTTAAGGGTTGACCTTCGGTTCGTTGTGGAATTTTCAAATAAAATGTGTGCAAAAAACGGCTTTGATTTTCAAAACATTTTGAAATTAAACTGCACTTCATTATTGCAAAACAACCTGCACTTGATTCATCAAAGCCGTTTTTTGCACACATTTTTATTTGTTATATATGTTTATATATTAGGTCTACCGGAAAGTTCTGTCCGTTTTTGGAATAAAACGAAATACAAATTTTTCTCAATTTTTCAAAAATAAGATATACAAATTGCCCTCACGCTGGCAAGAAATCATTAATAATAATGGCAATCATATTATTTAATAAAGTTTATTGAACGGTAAAAAAAATTTCTATTTTGTTTTATTCCAAAAAACGGACAGAACTTTCCGGTAGACCTAATATTTTTATGTTTATATATTTGTTTATTACTTGCAGTGACCGAGGACGCTCTTACTCTAGAAGAGACAACTGGCAATGGATTCCCACGTAGGTCTCGACTACATCGTGGATAATCCTGATTATTGCATCAAGCTCGCCTCAGGTAAAGTATATAGTACCTGCGCGTCCGACTTCACAATCATCTTAACTCTCGTGAGAAAGAGAGATACTTCTTACGTACGTACGTACTGCGCATTAACATTTTGCCGCGGATATGATATGCTTTCAGCTTTGGAAACGGCATGTTCGTCCGTAAAGAAGCAAGTCGTGGAATTGCTGTCGGCGCTCTGCGTTTACAGTCAGGACGGCAGGCAGAGGGCCATCGATACTCTTCACATATATCAGGTGATTCAAGTACTTTCGAACATTTTTTTTTTTTTTTTTTTTTTTTTTTTTTTTTTTTTTTTTTTGACGATTTTGAAGCAACGAAGAAGCGTGGGTATTACGGGTATTATCTCGTTGCCGTGTGATTTAAATAGGAAATTATTGTTTAGTTCAACGAAGAAGAGATTCGCGCTTGATCGAAGAGCGATCTTATATAATTCTCCTCCTGAAACGCGAAGAATTTCTCACGGGGGAGATTCGCGCGAGTGATACAAAACCATCAGAACGCACCGTTCGGCGTTGCACAAACGCCGCGTACGAAACCGTACGTTGTAAAATTGTCCGCGTGCTAAACTTAGGTAAAAGAGTTCACACACAGTTCAAGGTCTTCCTTTGAGGAACAAAAGAAACGCGAATTGCATACTGTACAATTTCGTACGTGAACGCGTTGTATCTCCCAACTCTAAGACGCGCGAGCCATGCGAATGAGTTGCCGCGCCATTTCTTATTATTAACAATAATTGCGAATTCCGCACGATATGTTTGTTAATTATGAGTTTCGCTATATGTGACAACACAGTTGCTGCACGCACTACTCTCGAGAAACAAGAAAAGACATTGTTGTTCGTGCAATTTGATTGTTTTTCGTTACGTATGCTGAGAGTTTAATTTTTTAATAACACATAAAATGGCATATAAAAAAAACATTACACCGAAAAAATTGTATTCTTATTTTGAGGATATCCCACTTACTTTAAGTATATTTTATACTAAAATAGGCGCCAAGAAGAGTTTCTTATTTTAAGAGGAAAATCCTCTAAATAATAATATTGATAAGAATATATACTGATTAGAATATAAAAAGCCTCTATAGAAAAACATATATATCTCATTATCGAAAAAGACTATATTCTTAAATTAAGAATATATTCTTAAAAATAAAGAATATATTTTTAATTTCAGAAGAATATCATCTAAAATCTTTAAGAAGATTTTTTAAGTATAAAATCTTCTACTTACGAGAATATAATTTTTTCGGTGTACTTATGGTTTAAATGTGTTTTATTTGATTGTGTTTTGCCGATGGGAAGAGTTCAATCAATAATAAGATGCGAGAATATTGATTGACGGTGTTTTTTTGCGACGGCAAAAACTTGACGATAAAAAAAAAAAAAAATTGAAAACCAAATTTAAATCTTTAAATGTGAACAGTGACGATGACCTCGTGAGAGAAAATAAACGGTGTGTGGAAGCGAGACGATACGAGACAGTAACATAATGTTCCGTGTTATATTATAAGTAAATCTTTAAATCGCCTTTGTGTGCAATTAATATTGATTTTTTTATCGATCTACAGATTCTTTTAGACTAAAAATTATTTTTTTTAACAATTAAAACTGAAATTATTTTTTTTCTTAATTAGAATAAATGGCCGCAACAAATTTCAAAATTAAGTAAAATAGACCTTCACACCCGGTAAAAAATTTTTTTATATATACTTATATATACTTATACACTTTATATATACTTATACACAAATTAAAATAATTATATCTAATTATGCAAATTTATATGCCGAATATGTCCATACAATTTTGTACATGAAAAATTTTTTACCGGGCAGCCTTTGTAGTATGAATCTTGTCAAATGCTACCAATGTTGTAAGGTTTTTTTTATTATTAATTTCTTTATATTTTTTTATATGTGTTATATTTTTATTTTTTATTTTTTATTTTTTCTTTGTTCTTTTATTCAGTGGCTGATGATGATCTAAAATAATAAAGATCGAAACGTTCCACTCCTATCTATAATACAAGTTTTTTTCTTAAGTACAATAGTTTTTCTGTTATTGTTTTTATTTTTCCTAGTTTTGTTTTTTATATAATTCTACTTTACGGGTGTGTTGTATTTCTGTTTTTTCTTTGTGTATTAAAGAATTTTCTCGTTTATATAAATAAAATAAATAAAGTCAATATCTCGATGTTCCCCGGACGCGGGAAATAAGACGTTGATATAACGGGAAATTTCACGTGACATATTGTTTCCGGTTTCGACAGGAACGGAAGGGCGAGCGGTATCGATTGCGGGTTGTGGTCGACGAGCTGCAAAAAGCGACGGCCGAGGATTACCAGACGGCACTGTTAGCGTTCATAAATTGTCTGGTCATCTCGACGCCGGTGCTCAAGGATCGCATACGTATTCGCAACGAGTTTATCGGTGAGTGAGAGACTGCAAGCGACACTTGAGGCTCATGCGGGCGGATATCATTAAACACACGAACGCGGCTTCCTTATTGTCTCGAGATTTATTTGCGGCTCTTACACAGTCACGTCTTTTTTTTTCCAGAAACACGGATGAGTGAACTGTTAGTTCGAATGTTTACAGTTTCAAACGTTGTTATTGCAAATTTATACGCGTTTTAAATATAAACGCAAATTTAAACGTTGTTTTAAATATTCGTAAACATCTAATTTTGTACAAAGCACATTCAAAAATTCCGGCCTGTTACTTTTTTTTTTATGTTACTTACAATAATCTTAATCTCCTTCCTTTTTAATTTCTTTTTTTTTTTTAAACTGCACAGTTCACAGTTTCTCTTTGATTTGATTTAATAATCGGATTGTAATAAAGATAAAAAATTTTAGTGAAAATCAAGTGAAGGCTCCAATAATATAAACAAACTTAAGCAAGTAAATTGGCCAATGTGAGCCTAAACACATCTTTTTCTGAAGATGATCCCCAGCCGGGGATCGAAACGTTAAACGTTTTTGAATAAATTTAATTTGCAAAACATTTACACACTGTTAACTGTGTTTAGGCTCACATTGGTCTCAATTTACTTGCTTAAGTTTGTTTATAAAAAATTTTAATTACAATTTCTGAATTTTCGTGTTTCAGGTCTCAAGCTTCTGCCAATTTTGAACGAGCTGCGGTGAGTAGACGACGACCTGGATTTTCACACCTGGCATTTTCATTAACTTATTAACACACATATCTCTTAACGTTATGGAATAATAAATAATCATCTCAGTAATGTACGAAAAAAAGACACTTTATTGTATCCATGTCACCCTCTCCCTCCCCGGGTAAAAAATTTTTCATATATATACTTGTACACAAATTAAAATAATTGTATCTAATTATGCAAATTTATATGCCGAATACGTCCATACAATTTTATACGCGGAGAATTGCTTTTTTTTTTTTAAGAGAATGGCTTCAGGGATATTCCATATCAAATTACAAAATAACTCTATTAGTATCATATTAAATACAAAAAAAGTATATAAAATTATATTTTTACTATATTTAAAAAAAAATTTTTTGATATATAATCATATATACTTATATACGCAAATTAAACTTATTATATCTTAATTATGCAAATTTAATATACCGAATATGTCCATACAATTTTATACATGAAACAATTTTTTACCGGGTCGCACGCCATCTAATGTCACGTGTGCACGTGTAGAGATAATTACGCAAAAAAACCGAGTGGTTCGCTAACGAGGGAGGATTCCTTCTTTTTTTTTTTTTGTCGCACGATGTTGATATCTGCATGCACTAATCAAATAATAACGGTTTTAATAATGGAATTTTATCGCAAACAACGTAACACGTCACTTAAAACGCATCTTTGTGTAAGAAAAAGTTTTCTTGAGAAACATCTAGTTAAGTTTGTTAATAAATATTTCTCTGAGAGAGGAATTGTTTGTCGAATAAATTCAATGTAACAATTGAGCAAAGAATATTTGAGACAACACACTTTTTTGTACGTGTATGAGAGAGTAGCGAACGAGCCGCAACGAAGAAGAAATAGAATCAAGTGGAAATTCGTGAAAAATTTGTCTTTTCATCGCGATCTCGTCAAAAACATTCTGATTGAACAAGAAAAAAAGAAACAAAAAAAAAAAGAAAGCAAGACACTGAGAATCTCATTGTTTTCTCAAACAACAAAAAATGTGTGAAGTTAAATTTAACTACAAAATTTTCTTTCTTTTTTTTGTTTCCATTCAAACGATGTTGCTCATTAAAAGTGAAAAAACAAAAAAAAAGAACAATTGCTTTCCCGTCTTCGTGAAAAAAAAAAAAAAAAAAAAAAAAAAAACAGAACGAAAATAAGAAAGAGTCGCGGCGCTGATGAAGAAGAAGGACGAGATGGAGAGAGAGAGAGAGAGAGGAGAAAGGGAGACGAGAAAAGCCTGAATTTAACTTCTCTCGCTCTGGCGATGCACCTGTGACCGCATCTCGCGCGCGGCGCCGCTGGAGCGGCGGGGATGCTGCGACGACGACGACGCGGCGGCGTCATCAGAAATGCAACTGCCGTCGCGAGATGCCGGCCGGCCGGTGTCTTTTGTGTGTATATATCCGTCTCTCCACCATCAATTCCGACATCTCGATCCTCTCGCGCCGATTGATAAAGCCGTAAACCGGTATTTAAACCGCCGCGTTTAAATACGTTTATCGCTGCTGCTCTTTCTCTCTTTTTCTCTCTCTTATTTTTTTTTCGTCCAGAATCTTTATCTTCAACCGGTCCAAGCGATCGTCACAGTAAGCGGTAAGAAAACAAGAGGAAGAAAAAAATGTCGTTATTACAATTGCAATCATCTCGATTGTAATTTTTTTTGTGCGGGGGTTTGCGCCGATTCGCTTATGCGCGCAATGTTGTTATTATTTCGCGCTCCGCCCTGACTTGGTCCTGATATCGGTCGACAATTAAACAAAGTGCGTGTTGCTTTCCCAGATATATAATTGATATATATATATATAATTGTATTGTGTATTATTCAACGTGCGATATCGCGTCTTCGTGGTTCGTCTTCCGGTTCGTCTGTTTCGCTTTTGTTTCCAAAGACTTGCTCTCTTTATTTGCGCTTCGATCGAAAAAAATTGTAACGTTCCAACACGCGCGTCGATGTTTCCACGAGAAAAAAATGTTAACTACTCCGTGTGACCAATTCACTTTTCGCGGAGAACTACCGTTCTTCCCGACGTGGTGAAATAATTAGAGAGACGAGAGAGCGTTTCGCTGTTTCACGCGCACGAAAATCCCAAGTATTTTAAGGGAGAGACGCGTTTTCGAGAATTCTCTCTCTCTCTCTCTCTCTCTCTCTCGACCGCATACTCTTCTTTTTGCTTCTTTATCGTTGCGCGGTTTTCTGGCATTGCTTCTTCCTGTGAGTCATGGCCGCGCTCGCGTACCGTCTTCTTTATCCGTTTCTGTTTTGTTCGCCGGTGAAGATCGATGGCAGGATTGGACCTACGCGGAGAGAGAGTATTTTGGTACACGCTCTCTCTCTCTCTCTCTCTCTCTCTCTCAAGTAGGACTCGCTGGAAACTTCTCAAACTCTATTCAGAATGTTTGACTTATCTCTCTCTCTCTCTCTCTCTCTCTTTTCGCGCGGAGTTTTTAATCTCACAATTGTTGTGCGTCTTTAGTCTCTTCGAATTTTTTCATCGATCTCTTTTCTCCTTCTGGAGTTTTCTCGTTGTTCGAGACGAGTTCTAGCGAAGATCTAGCGAATTTTTTGCGAGTTTTTTTTTTTTTTCACTTAAATTATAAATTTTGCGTTCAAATCATTACACAAGATGTGTGTACTAATTAATAATTGTGATCTATAAATAATGTGTCGCACCCCCGCAAGCGGAGAGACGTGCGTCTCTCTTATTTTCTTTTGTCTTATAATGTGACGCGCGGTGCTTTTTTTTTTTTTTTTTTTTTTTTTTTTTTTTTATTCCGATCTATTTATTATATTCGAAGATCTATGAGACGTCTCCGCGCCGACTATTTCCGTGCCGAGGAAGCGGAATGCGACCCGGAATCATTTGAACTCTCCGCCCAACTGGTAAAAGTACCACGTTCTTCATAAATGTGATTTGCGCATTCGATAAGTGATTTTTCAGTGTGTTGCTTAATTAAACATTGTAATTTCATTCTCGAAGAAGAAATAGTAAATTAACAAATTAACATTTTTGTTAATTAAATTATAATTATAACATAATTAAATTATATTATAATTAAAAACAATCTTGATAAAAATATGTTTGCGGTAATAAAAATAACTCCAGCAAAATAAAACAATTCACAATTTTCGAAGTAAAATGCAGCGTGTGAAAAATCGAATCGTGTTAAGCGAGGGAGGATCTTTGTTCCTCAAAAAACTTTATAGAAGAATAGGAATCGCGTAATCTAAAGAAAATTCGCGCCCGAAATAGAGCGAACAATGGCGTATTATATCTACTCGAAAGTTTGAAAATTATATCCTCATATCGGAAAGGGGTGATGATTTTTTCTTGCAGAAAGAGTCACGCGCCGGATGTAAGGGTGCAGCTGGACGCGTTCGACGATCAACGAGAGACCGACGAGGAGCTCGCCAATCACGGACCGCCCGGGATCGATCTCTCTTCTCACGTGGACGTCTTTTACGCCATTCTCGGTCAAGTGAGAAACCTTTTTTTGTTGTTCTTTTATTGTCTTCGGCAATAGTTTGTCATCGATATTCGTTTATTATATATAAAATGTTTCGCGCGCAAATTAAATTTTAAATTAAATTTCAAGTTTTCAATTAATTTCAAGTTACAAAGAGAGAAAATATTATAATTTTATCATTTTCTCTCTTTAAGTAAGTTACGCTAGTCTAAAATGCGTCAACAACCACCTTTTCATAAATTTAATTTTAATAATTTACATTAAAGCGCGATCATTAAATTATTTATTTTATTATATTAATATCTTTCTATCGCTCGATATGATACCTTATTTATTTGCTTATTTGTAATTTCAATTTTTTTTTACTTGTATAATTTTATTATTTTTAAAAGCTTCGTACGCACGTACACAAATTGTTTTCATATTTCACTCTGTTTGTTTGTCAAAAAATGAAGAAGCATCAATTTTTTCAACGTTGACCGTTTTTCCGGTCTGAAACTTCAATCAGACCCGGTCGGGTCTCATAATAAAAGCGCTGTTTGTGAAGTAACACTAATCGAGAGATCCAGGCTCTCACTTTAACAGACGTCTGACAAAACGCAGCGGTGTACTTTTAGGTCGCAGACACTCCGCAGGAGATACCCTTTCTGAGTATCCTGCAGCATCTGTTGCGTTTGGATCCGAAAGACGCCGCGAGTGATCTAGCATGGGACACAGCGGAGACTCTGGTACATCGCGCCACGTTGCTGGAGAATCGTGAGGACGCCACCAAGTTGCTGAGATCGCCTAGTCTTCAAGTAAATAGTCTTGTCTTTTGCTTTGCGCGTTTCTTTTTGCAAAATACAAAAATTAACGAGAGAAAACGAGACCGACTTGGAATTTTTGGCACGATATAGATAAAAACGATCGCGCAGTTCTCTCACGTACGGGTAAGTGAAACCCGCGTGAATGTATTTATTGGCTTTGTTCGCGTTTGAGGCTTTTCCTCTTGCGGAGAGGACTTTCGCCGATTATACAATCGGTGGTGGTAAACGACGACGCGTCGCGCGTCGATTGTGGAAGAGAAGTCTCTTTCGCGATGGCGTGATTTTGCGCATTACATCAGATCGCGTTTTAAAAATTCGCGCTATACCACGCGCGAATAATCCCCCCATCGTCAATGTCAAACCTGCCCGCGCACCTTAACGCGACCGAATGTAATACTCACTTGTAGGTAATATACATCGCTGCGCACTTTTACTTTCTGCTTGTACTTGACCGAAAGACGCGAGTCCATAAAAGAAGAAACTCGTACCACGCTTGACGTCTCGATGAATCAGCGTAGCGTGCATTTACACACATAGGACTTAATCATGTTCCTTGTTTAAATCGCGCGAGAGATTTTTTTGTTTGGTTTCTTTCTTAATTCAAACTTAAATTCAAAAACACTCATATTTTCAAATGTTCTCGGAATTTTTTTTCTTCTAAATTTTTGTCTAAAGAAACAATTTGAACAATTTAATAAATACGAGAAGAGAAAGGAGAGAAATCTAAAAGTAAATTCTAGGAAATAATAAAAATGGTATCATAGAAGCCTTACGCTGGGTGTTTTTGTTGCGTAATAAATAAATATATATATATTTATTTATTTATTAATAAATAAATATATATATATATATATTTATTTATTATATATATTTATTATATGTATATTTATATACACATATATATACATATTTAT